GGTGGAGAACAGAATGGGCTGATCCCAGTTCACTGGGTGCAGTGCCCTCATTCTCCTGGGCTCGGGGCATGGCAGGGGGCAGTCCCTGTTGGTCAGGCTGGTCCAGGACGCGCACTGACAGGGAGGCTACGGCGCAGGGAGGAGAGGGGGCTGGTGGCTCCTTATGTCCTTGATGAAAGGTTGCTTGCTGCATCCTGGCTCCTGGGGCCTCAGGTGCCTCCTGGTGGTGAACGGTAGGACCAGGGTTCATGTCAGCATCGTATGCCGTCATCCCATGTTCCACCACCAACTCTCTTCCTCTTCCTCTCTCCTCTGCCCTGGCCAGTGCAGACTGGGAGGGTTTAGGGTGAATAATGACATCAGCCTGACAGAAAAGGTGATGACTACATTTGTTCTATTCATTCATTTATCTATGCTTTGTGGAATTTACAAGCCTGAAAAGTTTTTTTTTTTTATTTAACACAATCACTGCAGAAACAAATATGTGTAATGTAAAAAGTACTAGCTACGATTTGGCGGGAGAAGCACAAGAGTGAGCCATGGACAGTTGTTCAGATTTTTCACATTATCTAACCAATGTGTAGCAGCTTAATGTGTCCTGTTTTGTGAAATAATTCCTTGGTTTTGTTCAACTGATGATTCAGTGAGTGGAGGTTGCTCACCTTATCAGAGACATAGGAAGAGCTGTCATTATCCTCTGAGTGGTCCTCATCCTCCTCTGGTGCTGCAGGGCTTTCTGTCAGGCAGGAATAAGAGGCAGGGGTGAGAGGTCAGCATCAACTGAATCCCAAACAAGGCTAATTTTTCAATTAAACAAAAGGAGATGGGTCCATTTTTTCTCAGGCCATCTTCTTCTACATCATCTCAGGTTTAGGCGGTTCTTTGACAATTTGAGCTGGCATTTATAAAACATTATTTTCTTGTTCAAATCTAAAAATAAAACTAGTCAATTTTTACTGTACAGTATGTCGTAATATGATAATTAATGATAACAGTATGATTAAATCCATCTGTGTCACATGTATTTACATGTACATGATGAGGAGAAAAGAAGCTTTTTAAAACATATTTTTCCTGCAGTGTGTGGTTCTTAAACCTTTCAAGGTCCTGAAGTAAGCAACATTTATGTAATAATCTATTATGGGGACTAGTTATAATCAATTTATGACATGTTCATTCACAAAACTAAATGACTGCAGTTTGAAAAACAAAAATGAAGACAGAGTTATGCTATACCACTGGCCCCTTGCTGGGCCTCTTTCTCAAGTCTCTGGCAAAGGAGTTCCTGTTGTTTGGCCAGGTACTGTTTTATGAAGCTGTTCTGACACATCTCCTCCCCTATCTACAACATAGAAAAACACAAAACACAGCACTTAGAAAAGACATCACTTTTGTTGTAAAATAATTAGCAAGTTAACCCATCTTCAAAAATCTCTTTGTACCTGAAAGTTGGGCTGCAGCCCGCTGTGGGACGACGAGGACTTCTGTAGGTTTTCCAGCATCAGAGCCTGCAGGGATTGAATAAGGGGAGTTATTCAAAATTAAACAAAATAAAATAAATAAAAGTATACAACATAACATTCAAATGTAAAATTATACAGCATAACATTGGAAGATAGAAAACATTTGAAAACCAGATCATTTTGAATTAATTTTTTCCTTCAAAACCAAGCAAAACAATGGTCATTTCTTCAAAATGATGTCATGCTTGTATACAAACCAGTGTTTCTGTAACGTTTAGCCAAATGCAGACAAGTGTTGTAAATGTATGCAACTCAGTGACACTGGCCTCCACCTTCAGACACGTGGGAGATGTCAGCAGCACTCCATTGTGAATTCATATATAATTTTCTTTGCCATAAGACTGTAATTCATCATGAAAACTACAGCCAAAGGAGTTAAAATTTTGCAAAATACAATTTACAAACATTATAACAGGAAAGTTAATTAAGCAAATAAAATGCTTATTAATTAAAGTGATTTATTTGAATTAGGTGTCCAGTAATATTCGCTAGGGTAGAAGTAATTTAAGATTCATTCATGGGGTGAAGATCTTACACAAAATAGCAATGGTGTTAATAAATCCATAACCTAAAACTGCATCCATTGGTTGTTGGTGAAGCCTGTAAAATTGTTTACATCAGGAGGCACAACCCCATAACCCAGAAGTGGAAAGTAATTAAGTACATTTACTTAAGTATTGTACTTAAGTACAACTTTGAGGCGTCTGTACTTTCTACTTGTTACTCCACTACATTTATTTGTTAAACTTTAGTTCATTTTCAGAATTAGATGAATAAAACAAAATACAGTATAATCATAGGACGGTTTTGATCCTCAGCAGGA